CGTAACCATCGCAGAAGGATACCATGGTCGATGGTATCGAAGGCCGCTGAGAGTTCAAGAAGCACTAGGATAGAGGGGCGACCTCCATCCCTGGCTCTCCAGAGATCATCGGTCAGTGCGACCAAAGCGGTTTCCATGCTGTAGCCAGGCCTGAATCCGGACTGAAAGGAGTCCAGATAATCGGCTTCATCCAAGGACCGTCTAATATCATTTAGTGATATGTGGATTTTTATAGCCCACGTAAATTAATCCTGCCCAAAGTGGCTGCCTCCCCTCCCTTTATGTGCTTCCCACCATCTCCATGTACACATTCTATATACAGACATTTTGCTAATGGAACATTCGTAGTTCTAATGTTAAGAATCAAGATAGTCGAGCTGTCATAAGCTATGGAGCCATTTCCAATGTAATGCTCTGAAATTTCCTCAGAAAGCTTGTACAAATCATTTTATACCTCTTGCTTCTCTATATCCCCAGGAAATATCTTGCTTCTTGATGGCAGAGAAGATTCTGAAAAACAAAAGCTGATGCTTATTGACTTTGAATACAGCAGTTACAATTATAGGTAAATGTTGCAACTCTCCTTGAATGAATAAAAGTACAAGCTTAACAAATGCCAGATTAGTTGTATGAATTGCTTTTTGCATACAGTCTGTTTGCTGTTAATCCATCAGGATTACCAATGTTTGCCTAAAAAAAGTTGTGGTAGATATCTAATATGGTATTTGAACATAAAGTGTTTGGCAAAAAAAAAATGGAGTAATAAATTTATGTTAAAACTAGCTAAATAAAATTTACCTATAAAGTAAATCTATTTCAAATGTTTGTAATTAATTTTATGATAAAGCTATATTATAAGATAAATAGCAGATAATAGAAACTCTGTTCATCTTTATGAATAATTACTTAGCATGCTTTGTTGTGATAGTGTTTCATGATCAATTTGATACCTAAACTGACAGTTTTTAAATGTATTTGCATTGTTTAGAGAAGAAGGTATATCCTCTGAGATTTATAGGACATTAATTGATTATTATATTAGTTTTTTGCCAGAATAGTCTGATCATGTTGATTTTTGCTCTCAAATTTAAGTTTTTTCCAATGACTAAATAACGTATATGTATATGAATATGTGTCTGGGTCGGGAATTAGAGTTTATAGTACTGATCCTGGGGTGGCAACTTCATTTTGCTAAGCTTTCAGTTACTTGATACTACTATAGCATAAGAATTGCTAATAAAGATGGATCCTTATGTCATTTGGTCATTGGAAAATTTTTCAAAAACAGGATAGCAGGAATAATGTAATCTTCAGGCAGAAAAAGATTTAGCTTTTTTTCTGGTTAAAATACAACTCTTAAAAGATGCACATTTTAAAGAATTGAATAACAAAATGTAATATGCACCTGCCAGTCAAAGTGTATATATTAGAATAAATAGTTGATTTTATTTAATAGATTGAATTAGTTTTAACATCATTTATGAACTTTATTAGCCTTTAATGACCAGAAGATTTCAACCCTGCTGGTTGATGAGGTCGATTAATAGTGGATTGCAACAGTTACAGTTGCCACTTATGATATCACAAATAGATGGATGCTATATGTAGGCCATCCATCTCTCACTGAAAAGAATTCTAACAAGATGGAACTTAAGTTTCATCCAGCACAGCTCTTTCTATAATCCCCAAATTCTTAAGAATATAAGTTTTGGAGCTGAATGTATTTCTTACATATTGATAATGTTTCCACTTTAGAGGGTTTGATATTGCTAATCATTTCTGTGAATGGATGTATGACTATGTGCATGAAAAATACCCATTCTTCAAAGCGAACTTCATGAACTATCCCACGAAGAAGCAGCAGGTAAGCAGTAAAAAGAACTGTCTTGAGTTATAATGTTCTTTACTTTCAAATTGAATTTCATTTCTAAATTGTATGTACTCAACTTTAATCTGCATTCGCAGCTTAAATCTTGCCAAATTGAATTTCTTAATCACATAGAATAGAGAACTATTGTCCTCCACAAATCGAGTTATTGAACTAAAATTCTCAGAATCCTTCATTATTGGTTATATTGGCTGTAGAATGATATTCAAGTATCATCTAGAAGACTATAAATTCCCCAATTCTGTGGTAATTGTCTATAACCGTGCTTTTCAACCACTGTGCCACGGCACACTAGTGTGCCGTGACATAGTGTAAGGTGTGCCGTGGGAAAAACACCTATATAGTCAATATAGGTACAGAGTTAAATTTTTTTAACATTTTCTAATGGTGGTGTGCCTCGTGATTTTTTTCATGAAAAAAAGTGTGCCTTTGCACAAAAAAGGTTGAAAAACACTGGTCTATGACCTCTGTATTTTCAGCCTATGATCCTTGTAGGAAAATTAAAGTTTTCTTAATTGAGTGTACCTAGAATACATTTTCTAAATTTCATCTAATTCATCCAGCTAGTGAGAGGTACTAGGTGTTACAGTTTAGTAATATATTGGAGGGAGGCACAGTTTTCTCAGCTCTAATAATTGTTAAGCAAATATTGAATGAACTGGAATACAAATAATTAGATCTGGAATGAATTTGAAAATGAATACTGTTGCTCTGCTTTTTTTTAAAAAAAAAAGTCCTTTGAATTAAACTGAAGTTCTAATAATTTATGTTAACTTGGTATGTTGGTGTTAAGCAAATCCATTGCTGTTCTGACAACACTTTTGTGCTTATAGCTCCATTTCATAACCAGTTATCTAGCTGCATCTCAAAGTGGATTTGAAAATCTGAGCCATGAAGATAAGTCCAAAATAGAAGAAGATATGTTGGTTGAAATAAACAGGTAGCCTCTCTCTTCATTCAAAATTATATGTAATCCTGTTCAGAAATCTTCATTTTCAGTTAATACATGTAGATTATATGCGACATTCTTCAGTGCTTAATTTGGTATTTAATCTGAATTAGTTCTTACAGATGAGGTTGCTGATTATTTAGGTTGTAATTATTTTTCTAAGCTGCATGATTTCATTTACTATCTGCTCTGAGAAAAATCTGGTTTGATCAGTAAGCATAGAAACATGACAGAGAAAGCTTCCACAGTTGAAGACACATTTAATACTAATTGAGGATACGTGATCTGGTTCCTTGGATATCTCCTTGATGTTAATCAACATGCCTCCACTATTTTACTCTGATTAAAAACTAAATGGAAAGTGAATGAGCTACAAATCAAAATTCCATCCTGCAGTATTATTTTTATTTCCAAGAGTACCTACCTAGGCTTAATAGGGTTTCTTAGAAAATAAAAAAAATCGCATGGAACATAGTTGAATGTTTTCTTCGAAATTGTGCATGCTTACCAGTCACCCTCTCTCTCTGAGCCCAACTCACCTGACAGGGTGGTGGTTGTGGGAAAAATAGGAGGAGGAAGTTGTGTTTGATGTTGCTACTTTGAATTATTTATAAAATGATAAAAGTGGAAATAAATAAATACATAACCCCCCAAAGAAATAGAAGCTTAATGCGGTATTTGGAAGGATATAAAAGTAGAAAAACAGAATTGTCTCTGCTTTGTTATCTTATACTTGATTATTTTAATGTTTCTTAATATTTTTATGCTTTTAGCCACCCAGAGTCATTTCACATGACATGGGCAGCAAATACATTTCATGAATGAATAGGAGGACACAGTCTCTCAGATAAATTATATGGGTGCTTGTGGCTAATAACACCTACTCTTATTAATTTGACTATGTAAAATTAGAGACCATATAAAGTAGCCTTTCAAATTATTAAGAGTCCAGGATACCTGAGAGTTATCTTCTCTATAAAGCTGTTCATATCTGAAGGTCTATTAGAAGGAAACCATCTTCTTTAGCTTTTCAGAACATGAGCAGCCCTTTTCTATTATACATTTTAGATTAGAGAAGATAATACATAGCCTTCCAGGTATGAGGGGCTTCCACCATCCCACATCATGTATCTGTCTTGCCAGGAGTGGTGATGAGTTCAGTTGGAGGACATGTATTGTCCACCTCCCTTTTATATTCTAGTCAAGAGAAGCAAGGGTGGTTTTGTGTTTGGTATCAAAACATACTGTGACCGTATTCAATTATGTTTTTCTTTGACAGGTTTGCTCTTGCATCTCATATCTTCTGGGGTCTGTGGTCCATTATACAGGCAAAGATATCATCTATTGAGTTTGGATACATGGTATGCCTTTTAAAAAGTCTCACATTTTTAAGCATCTGCGTCCTTCACAGCTGAGTACTTATGTCTGTGTAAGAAAGAGTTGAGAAATTGGAGCTTTGTAGATTTTGCAGAACTTCTAAGGCCGTTCAGCATGGTCAACGATGAGGAATGCTAGGAATTAGTTTTGTAACATATGAAGAGTCCAGGCTCCCTACCGTACTTGTCTCAGACTGATCTTAATCCCCTCCAAAATCCTATGTTTTCAGCATTTAATTTAACTAAAAATCAGTTACTAACGATTGTGAGTATTTGCCTCATCAAGCATTAAAAAAAATGGCCATTAAAATGGTCATTAAAAAAAATGGCACTTGCTATCACCAGCAACTCGGCTTTGACTGCTTTAATGATACTACATTAAATGTTAGTTAACTATAATTTTGATTCTTCTTAGCTTGTCCTTTTAATTTATTTTCAAAAACTAGTTTATACATATACAGGGCACATAAATTCAGTTTTAAATCCAGGTTGCAGCAAGAATCATTAAGAATTGATACCTGAAAAAGTATTGCATTTCCATCCTAAGTGATGTTAAGTGCTTTCTTAGCATCACTTAGAATGCTCACTGCTATTTGTAAAAGAGAACCAAGTGTCATCAGACAAATAGGTCTGCATGAAATTTTAGTGTAATGCTTGTTCCCTGAAATTGGGATACATTGAAGGAGCTTCAGTTTTTTCAATTGTGGTATTTTCCCCCCCACTTAGGACTATGCACTCTCCAGATTTGATGCCTACTTTGAGCAGAAGAGGAAACTCAAAGTGTGAAGGTTGAAGACTGGACACTCAGTCACTGTACTGTATAAGGAAGGCAGCTGGGCAGAAATTCCACTGTGCTTAGGCTACTGTAGTTGTAATGAAGGTTTTGCAAATTCCAACTACTCGGATGCAATGCTGAAGACTGCACAAAATGGCTGTTTACTTTTTTACAGTTTCATAAGTCTCTGGAATGCAAATTGATAGCTGATGGATAATATAACAGTGCAATATCAAATGTTTTAAATCTAGAAGGTATTATGAGGGAAACCTTGAGTGTTAATGTGAACCATCCCTTATTTCAAAAGCAAGAAGTGTTAACTGTGGGTATCTATTTTTTTAACTAACATATTTTATTGACAATGCATTATATAAACTACCAATTAAGGGGGAAGTTCCAATTCATTCTCATTCATTCATTCATTCTCTCTCTCTCTCTCTCTCTCTCTCTCTCTCTCTCTCTCTCTCTCTCTCTCTCTTTCTCTCTCCTTCTCTCTCCTTCTCTCTCTCTCTCTTTCTTTCTCTCTCTTTCTTTCTCTCTCTCTCTCCCTTAAGAGGAAATGATTACACTGTGAATTTTTGCTGAAACCTGTTTGAGCAAAGATCATTGTTATGTGACAGATGTATGTCAGTCAGTTCAGAAAAAGACTGGTAAGCTAACACTAATACATACTGAAAGAACTCAAGAGCGTCTACAACCCGGCTTCTCTTTTCATGCAGTATCTTTGATTTTCTGGTATGTTGGTAGAACAAGGCAATACTGATACATCTCAAACTGGAGCATGCAAGTCTTTCTATTTCCTGTTAGCTTATTTCACAGTTTCAATCCAGGATATGCTAAACGTTCAGCAGCGGTCATGTTGTATTGCATTATTCTTCTCTAAGAAGTTCTCCAGGCTGATAGAAATGGGATGAGTGCCTTGAATTCTTCTAGCAGCTGCTTCTTGCTAAAAGGAGAAAAGTAGGAGCAAACGAAAAACAGGGAGGAGCTGAGGGATGCTTGGGGCAGTAGTGGCAGGCTGGTGCCTTGTTGGGGGCACACTGCTCCTTGTTTAAAAACCCTGCCACCTTTCCAACAGTTAAGTGGATGTTTCTTGTGCAAAGAATACATTGAACTATGTATGTGAAAACTCCGATAAGTATAAGTTTTGTGAGGGTATCTAGAAAATGTATCTCCTAACTATTCTTTGATGTGCTTTCTGCTTAACTTGTATTGGACAAATAAACTTTTTAAAGTCGTCTTCTTGTAATATTTCATTATTTCTTTGTCCACATTTAAGTCTTGAATTCTGTTTCCCCTTTCCTGTAGCAATGTGCTTGACTTGTACAAGCATCTTCGGTGACTTAGATAGAATGCCAATATGTATGCGATGTTAACACACAAATGCCATAAACATATTTGCAGTTCATTACAGATAACCACAGCTAATCTGTCACCTTGTGCTAAGCAACTTACTTTGTTTAGTATGGGTTTACATAGTATGGGTTGATAGTAATATGTAAATCCAAGATTGTGGTTTATAAAATAGAATGTATAGCTTATTGACCTTGTTTAGTAAACCGGAATTCATTATTGTTTAGAACTCTAAGCAAACCTCTATGGTTGCTATCTTTCTTCTCTCCCTTCTCTAGGAGTAATAATTTTGGTTTTTTTTTTTTTAACCTTTCAATGCAATAAGGCTCTAGTCTATAATTTGTCATGGATTCAGGTATTTCTTGATAGTAAAAAGCAAAAAGGATCTTCATTGAGTTCTTACCAAGATTTATGGAGTTAGTGAAATATTATGGGAGATAAATTAAAACAATTGTGGATGAAGGGTTTAACTTGAAATTAAATCCAGAAAGGTGCTGCATTTTGAAAAGCTGGGATACTGCATAGCTGGAAAATGGTCAGTTGCTACCTTTTTACCCTTGACATAATTCCCAGCTTCTCTGGCAGATTTGCATAATTATGGTCCTTTTCTGAATTAAAAATTGGTCCTTTTTGAATTAAATATTCAAAGAACGGGACATGACATAAGGCTTGTATTATACAGCAGCATGACCATTGCTGCAGTAGAATTTCTCTGAGCCGTTTCCTCTGCCATCCATAAACACACTTGTACTGAAAACCAAAAGTGCTCTCCATAACTTCTTCCAGAACCACCATCAAAATTGCAGTGCATAAACGTGGGGGGGGCAGGGGGGGGCAGGGATTCCACTCTTCAAAATGACCATCAAGTCTTCCTGCCGATAACCTTTCCTTTGCTGAAAGCTATAGGTTTAAGGGAGGGAGTGGGAATCAATAAGAGTTTCAAGAGATAGAGTGAATAAAACTGTTTAGCAGAGGGACAGGATTTGAGGACTACTTTATTACATGTTTTACGCTTACTCTCAATTGTTTGTTTTGTACCTCAAAATAGCCAGAAGCTGAATTCTAACGATGCAGTTTGAGGAGGCTCTGGAAATCACAAAAAAAATGCTCTTTTCTATTTATTCTTGAATTTTGCCATTCCTTCATTGATAGCCATTTTGTATTGGATTATTTCAAACTATAAATGCTGCCTTTTTAATCCTTACAGCTAAATCACTTTGGATGTCTAATTAGCATATTAGAGAAAGAATAGCTGACATGGAAGAATCTAAATTACTGTCAGTTCAGTTTATTTTCCTATCCAATAATTCAGCTTTGACTAACAAGATCAATGTCCAAAGACAGGAGAGATTATGGCAAACATGCTGTTAATAACACACATCCGTTTTAAATACAGAACAAATTCCATGCTTTGAGATTTTAGAATCAGTGAAATTATTTTGAGAAACTCTTGACACTTTTTTCAAAATGAAAAAAAGCCAAATCAGTGAGATTATGGTGAGGGAGAAAAAAGGATTCCACAGAAGCATTGTGAAGTTTTAAAAGTGAAACCCCTGTTGCAACCCCTAAACCGAGTCCAAAATTATTCAGCTGCACGCTGTTTTCTTCGGCTTAATGTATATAATGTGTTGAGTGCAATTCCTTCTATCAGGCTAACCTAGCAAAGCTCTGCTCAGGAAATTTCCAAGGAAGAAATGATCTTTGTTCCTGCTTCCCTTGGCAGTTCCCCAGTCCCTGCCCACTCCCATACTTTCTGGAGGGATGTCAAAATAAACCCTTAAGGCAAAAGAAGATCAGCAAAGTAATCACCTCTTTCTCTAGTTTTGTCAGTGAAAAAAATCTGATGGATGAAAAGCTTCTGATCTTCCTGTTCCATATCTGTCATTGGACCTTGGCGATCCTATTTTTATCAAAAGCCACACGAAAAAGTGCTGTTGAGTTTGGTCCAAACCAATCCCTTACATTTTGAAGTCATGGTGTTCTTCTGCCTGGACCTCATTTCAGGTTTGGCACCCATAGAAATTAATTGTCCCCTGCTTGCAAGATGATGTGAGATTATCCTGACAGTAGTTGAGCAAGTTACTGGTCTTTGTGGGTTATCAAGAATTATCTAGATTTGATTAATCATTTAATTGAGCTATCACGTGATTAATTTGATGAGATTAGGGATTGTCTTCAGGGACATCCATGTCTCCAGGATCCTGAATTCCTGGGGGAGCATTCTGGATCAAACAAAAGTATTTCAGCCATTTAAGCAATAAGGAAGGTGGAAGGAGGTAGATTATTTGGGGGGAAAGGAAAGGGGAAGGGAGAGGTGAAGAGATTGAAGAACCAAAATCAAAGATTAAAATATGCTTTAGTGGAAAAATCCACATCTCGGCCATCACAAGTTCTTACTGTTGTTTGTTTCCCTAGTAGAGTTAAATTACTTTTCAGCCAAATTAGGCAACCATGAATAAAAATCAGATATATTAAGGATTCAAATATACATGAATATGAAAAATCTATTTTGAGATCACAACTTCTGCAATTTCAGTCAGTTTCCCACATTGAAACTTCTATTTTTCTTACAAGGGAAAAATTGAAGCACTGTGGATACTATAGTTCTATATATTTTATCCAAGAGGAACCTAAAATTGCCATGGGGGGTATAATCTGATTATCAGAAAGTGAAAATGTAAAAAAAAAAAATCCCATATAAGTGCTTTGTAATTTCCATTTCATGTCTAAATTAAGGATAAGATTAAGGTGTCCTCAGATCAGATTAATTACTGCTGGGTCTATGGTTCCTACAGTGGTGGGATTCAAAAAATTGTACTACCGGTTCTGTGCCTGTGGCTTGGCGGGCGTGGCTCGATGGGCATGGCAGGGGAAGGTTACTGTAAAATCCCCATTCCTCCCCACCCTACTAACCTGCTTTCAAGCTCCATTCTCCTGTTCAGGGCAACAAAAGAAGATCAGCTGGGAGGCAGCAGGGATGGGGCTAGCCTATTTGCCGGTTCTCTGAACTACTCAAAATTTCTGCTACCGATTCTCCATAACCTGTCAGAACTGGCTGAATACTACCTCTGGGTTCTTCCCATAGTTCTGAACATTTAAGGTATCTATACATATCGGCTTTATAAGGTGGCGCAGTGGTTAAATGCAGCACTGCAGGCTACTGCTAGATCAGCAGTTCAGCGGTTCAAATCTCACCGGCTCAGGGTTGACTCAGCCTTCCATCCTTCCGAGGTGGGTAAAATGAGGACCCAGATTGTTGGGGGCAATATGCTGACTCTCTGTAAACCGCTTAGAGAGGGCTGAAAGCCCTATGAAGCGGTATATAAGTCTACTGCTATTGCTATTGCTATAAACCTATTTAGTATACTCAATGTAGTACACATTTCTTGTTCAAATTAGCCGAACAAGCAATCTTTGTGTTTACAGAGCCCACCTTTGAAACTGCTGGATTAGGTTTTGGAGTAGCAAACACAATGTCCTTTATTGCTGACTGCTACCCAAATTACTCTTGAAGGGTCTACGTTTTTTTTCTCAGGCCTTCATCTTTTCTGCCTTTCCTTTTATCAGTTAAATCTGTTGGTTATTAGAATGTGCAGTTAAAGCATTTTAAAAAGCCCTACCAGCCTTCATTCTTGCTTTTGTCCACATAGGGTGACATAGATTTGCATTTCACCTATCACAGGAAACCCCACACTTCTCTTTTATGTCTGAATTCATAGCCATGCTTCAGAGCAAAGAAATAGCTCTGGAAGATACTGTACTGAAGTTACCCATAAAGTAACAAAGATGGAGAATGAATGAATGAATGAATGAATGAATGAATGAATGAATGAATGAATGAATGAATGAATGAATGAATGAATGAATATCACTTGGAATGAAGCCAGACATTGAATAGCAAAAAAGAAAAGAAAACAATAATTTCCCATTAAATGAACAATGGCATAAATGTGGCAATAACTATCAGGATAAATGCCCCATAGCATTTGTCATGTATAAATGGACCCACATGGAGATGGCATTGTCAAAAGATTCACGTTAGGCTGGTAGAGGAGAAGAAAGAAGGGCACATCAGAAGCAGTGGGAGAGGGTGTTTGTTACATTTCATTATAAGT